TTAAAAAAGTCAACCAATTCCATAGAGATAATAATTTAGTATGTATTTCCATTCTTAAATTTTGCTTATATCTGTAGCAATATATTTAATATATACAGTCATGGCATATGACAATGATAATGTTCTAAGAAATGCATCATTAGGTGATTTTGTCATTTTGCGAACATCATAGGGTATACTTACACAAACCTTAATGGAATGGCCTACTATACACCCAGGCCATATGGTTTATCCTGCTGCTCCTAGTCTATAAATCTGTACAGTTACTGTACTGAATACTGTAGGCAGTTGTAACACCAATGGTAAGTATTTGTGTATCTAAACATAGAAAAGGTACAGTAAAAATATGATATTATAATCTTATGGGGCCATCATTGTATATGTAGTCTGTTGGCTGAAATGTCATTATGTGGCACATGACTGTGTGTGTGTGTGTGTGTGTGTGTGTGTGTGTATGCATGCAAGTATTAAAACAAACTTATCCTACAAATTGTGAAGATTGTAATTTTTATCCTAATATTTGCTCCCTTCTTACATAAGCTCTTGATATTAAAGTGAACTGGTGCCCAGGATGATTTTATCCCCTTTTAAAAACTGTGTTTGGACTCAGCCAGCTGGGTCCAGGCTTCCCTCTAGTTTTCTTGAACATGGAGGGCTGGGCATTGGTCCTGACAAAGTTAAGTTGTAGGTATCCCAAGTAAGGACTCACTCCATCCTAGGGTAAGGATCCTCAGTTTTTAAAGGCATTTTAAAATTCTGTATTTGTCTTTACCTTTCCTTTATGATTGTAAAAATAGTTAGCATTATGAGATAAAGTACTCTTTATGTGTACCAGTTTAGCAGTCTATGTGAAAGTTCCCCTGTCCTCCCAATGTTTTCACACACTCAGCCAGTTTGTTGTTTTGGGCCCGTGTCCTACAGAAGTTTTCCTGAAGCCTATTTCTGAAAGTATCCAAGTCAATCGCATTAAAATTTGATATAATAGTTAATCTAATAATTATAATTCAGATGATTTAATCTGTTGTATTTATATTTGCTGTTGTAGCCAGCTGATTCTGTTCACATTACAAATGATGATGAAAGATTTCTACATCATCTTATCACAGAGGAGAAGGAAAAAACTAGCTTTACTGCTGTTGTTATCACAGGGGTACAACCAGAACACATACAGTACTTGAAAAATTATTTCCATCTTTGGACGCGACAGTTAGCGTAAGTAATTATATTTGGTTCAGGAAATGTTGCTACTTATCTTTTTTAAAGACAGAAAATATTACAGATATATTGAAGCCTCTTGGCTGTCCTTTTTGCTCCTGTACCATTTCCTTCCCTTCAGTAAAAGTACTGTGATGTCGGTGTTAAAACTGTTCTCTATTCATTTATTCTGTGAATATTTGTAGACCATCTCAGTGTATTGAGCATTATTTGAGGCACAGGATTTTTGACACCTATTATAAAATTAAAAATGAATTTCAGAATTTATCAAATTCAGCACCATCACTTCTGTGTCTCCATTTTGTGCTGCTTCTCTGTAACACATATCATAATCTTTCATACCATATATTTTACTTTTTTGTCAGCTTTTCCCCATTGAAATGTCATTTTAAGTTCACTGCTATATCCCCAGTGTGTAGAATACCTTGCTGATGCTCAATAAATGTTTATCAAATGAACATATCAAATCTATTAAAATGAAAAAATGTGTATACTTACGTGCCTCTGTGACATATTGGTACTGAAAATAAGTCGTTGTGTATCTATCCCAGTAAAACTTCTAGGGACTATATATCCCATTAGACCAAATCAAAGGAATGTTTATTTAATGGCTCTAAGTTTTTTCTGTATAGCTATATGATACATTCTATTTACTGGATCGTGTCCATAGTTTGTATTAGTTTGAATTACTGAGTCTTGCAAGATGTTTATTTGCACAAATTTCATACTTTTTAAAAAAAAAGTCTGTTTTCACATTTACCCTGTTGCACTTAATTTGAGATTCTCTATTCTATACATAAATGTATATTAACAGAATTTAAAGTTTTTGTTTTTATGGGAACATAAATTTGGCTTTTAGGAATACTTTTTTTCTTTTTCAATATTGCTGTTTATTGCCCCCGTGTAACCCAAGCTATTTAAATAGGACTTTGGATTTTTCTTCTCTGCTACATATTTTATTAGTTGCTTTATAGTCATAATTCTTTTTACTGAAGGAACTCAGTGTGAGTAACATAATTAAAATATACCTTTGCTCTAACAAAGAAGGAATATGAAGGAATATTGCAAGTATCTATTTCAGGAATAACTAAAGACGTGAATAATCCCACAGAAATGTAATCTTTTTAAACTTAAAAAATAAAATAGCAAAGATTTCTGAAGTGGTGGTCTTCAATGGGATGATGTTGAATTTATTAGTTTTGTTTGTTTTTGGAATGTTGGGGGTAAGATCGGGCCATAGGAGAGGAGAAATGAATATTCTAGAGTGATATTCTCACATTAAGAAGATTATTTAAAGGTATCTAATGCAGTCTACCCCTGTCCCAATAATTGAGTCCTTTCTACAACATCCCTGGCAAATAGAATTATAGACTGTGACTTTCTAGTTTTTTAGTTATTTCATAGATTATACTTTTGGAAGGGTAAAGTGTGTGGGCATTGAAGTTGGAAAGTTCTGGGCTGAAGCCCACCTCTCCTTAACTCTAGTTCTGTGACCTTTGATAAATTATATACACTCCCTGTACCCCAGTTTCTGTATCTGTAAAATGAGATGTAATAATACCTGCATCTCAGAATTGTTTTTACCAGTAAATGGAATACTGTATTTAAAAATGTTTCATAAAGTGCTCGGCACCTAGTAAGTACTGTTAACAAAAATTTTTTCGATAGAAGATTATATGAACTAATTTTTATATCAAT